AAAAAAAAAAAAAAAAAAAAAAAAAAAAGAAAAAAAAAAAAAAAAAAAAAAAAGAGGAAAAGAAAAAGAAGAAAAATGTTCAAATTCCAAAAAAAATAAGTGCTTTATCTTGGTGCGTAACGCTATCTATGTGGGGTTTTTTTTTTCCGTAGTTCATGTCAACAGATCTTTTCATCCTGATTCCTATTGCCACCGGTCGACAGAACACGAGCAGCGTGTCTATTGTTTTGTTGGTAGGAGTATGTTTATCGTACAAGAAGGTATGGTATGGTAAATCCGCCTCTCTCGTTGTAGAGCATACTCACACTAGGACTTTTTCACTTGTCTCTGGACGTAATTGTGGTCAGATGCATCCATGTCTGGCCTTAAAACCACCAGTACACCCGCACCTAAAATCCTGAACCTACCTGTCCACTGCGCGCCACTATTTTCCGAGCCTTCTGCGTGAGGGTACCTGCAGTGGGAATTTCGGAAGTGGCACTGTTGCCGCCGGTCTGCCTGAACCCAAAAAATAAAAAAAGGAACAAACACCAGAGAGCAATGATGTCGTGAACGTCATGGAGGCCATAAGCAAATGATCACTTTCCTGAATGCATCTGACCACTGTTATGGGGAGAGGGAAACGTTGCTGTTTCTCCTTTTTTTCTGGTTTTGTTTTTTTTATCCTGGCCCTGCCAGCCAGGCAGCGCATATTCCTCTTGCTCAAAACGCCCTCGCTGAGGGCATACTCACACTAGAGACGTTGAAACACATCCAACCACTTCCACGGGCAAAGCGTTGTTGGCTTTTTTTTTTTTTGTTCTTTTTTTTTAGAGTCCGACAGTCCTGCTCCCCGTGTTCTACGTTCTGCTGAAGTGTCCTCACTGAGGGCAAACTCGCACGAGTACTCCAAAAAGTGTATCCAACTGCAATCACGGCCAAAGGCTTTTGTTTTTTTTTTCTTTTTTTGAAAGNCCTCACTGAGGGCAAACTCGCACGAGTACTCCAAAAAGTGTATCCAACTGCAATCACGGCCAAAGGCTTTTGTTTTTTTTTTCTTTTTTTGAAAGTCCGACAGTCCTGCTTCCCGTGTTCTACGTTCTGCTGAAGTGCCCTCACTGAGGGCAAACTCGCACGAGTACTCCAAAAAGTGTATCCAACTGCAATCACGGCCAAAGGCTTTTTTGGGGGGGGGGATGTACGAATTGAGATGGGACCAAAAATTTGAAAACCTTCTGACGCTCCGACCCTGCCCCGAGCCCGCCTTTTACTTCTTGTGGCAACAAGTTATTTTGCTGCAAGGCTGAGGCCGTGTACTGGTGGTTTAAATGCGGTCGGATGCATCCACGTAAGGTAGTGCTAGTTTGAGTATATAGTATATAGTATATAGTATATAGCCTTAGTTTTTTTCTCCCGTAGCATGCAGTTGCGACGGGATGTAAAACATGGGGCGGCATTCCATTAGCTAGAAACATTCTAAATGTATCAAGACTTCACCCTGTACCAGATACGCTCAAACAGATCAAACATCTTGAACGAACGTTGACCGTCTCCATGTTCAGATACGTTGGGTATGCTGTGCGGTGGAGCGAAGCACATTAAAAGGGCCTTTACCCGATATAGGCCTCAGGCCTTGTAAAAATAAAGCAGCACGGGCCTTGAAAAAGTAAAGCATTGTGAAAAGGTATCTCGTCAGAGCTCAGAAACGTGAAAGCAGGTCAAAGGTCAAGTTCTCTATCAACAGGCATATTTAAAACTAAGGCAAAGGGCATTGTCAAAAGACTTACCTGTTCACCAGGAGATGTGTATGTCATGTCT